TTTTTTTTTGTTTCACGAAGATAGAGGCTGAGGCTGTGTACAGAAAAAAACTACAGGGTGGTTGAGAGAATAGAAATGTGGGTTAGGTTAAGGTATTTTTGACCGGTACGATAAGGTGTATCCGATTTAATGTGTTATACCATCAAATCTTTTTAACACAGTTTTTTATAAAACGATGACAGGGGAGAGGCGAGGAAGTCCTTTTTCCAAAATTTTAAAGCAAAATGAAAATACCAATGTTTATTAATGACGATAAAAGTTGTTCTTCAACAACTAAATTTGTAATTACAAGTTTATTTTTTATCAAATATAGATACCCTTCCAAAAAAAAAAAAATAAAAGAAACTTAAGATTTTATTTTTATCTTTGTTTTTTTTTTTTTCCAGTATCAGAAGAACTTTATGGACCTGAAGTGGGAAGTAAGTTGCCATTTTTAAGCCTACATATATAGCACCTTTCTTTTTTTTGTAATCACTTTTTTAGTCTTATTGGGTAAAACGAATAGTTACACTAAACAATAACAAAAATAGAAAAAAAATTACATAAAACATATTTAAATGATAGTAGATGTTATTTCAGAAGGATTTCGTGGTGGCAGATTAGGAGGAAGAGGAATGTCCGCTTTTAAGGGTAAAGCTAGAAGTTTAGGAATGAAAAAACCTGGAGTTCTGAAAAATAAAAGTTGGCTAAAAAATACAAAAGTTGGTTTGTGTATTACATTGATAAAATTGTTTTTTTTCTTCTATTTTACTTTTCCTTTTTTTTTCTTTTTTTTTTTTTCAAGGAATTAGTCAACTTTTTTCTGCTTACAACTAATTTTTGCAGTAATTGTATGAATAGTGATAAACAAAGTTTATTGTAAAATCAAATTTCCAAAATTTTTATTAATTTTATTTTTGATTTTCTTTTTTTTGCACAAAATTTTATCTTATTAGAAAAGTATTGTTCAAACAAAATTATAATTCAAAATTAATTTATTATATATAATCGGAAAAAGAAAAGAACGAAGAGCACAAAAAAAATTACAAAAAAAAGAGGCAAAACAAAACAGATA